TTTTTTTTTTGAAAAGCATTTTGAATATCTAATCAAAAATTTTTTTGATCTACCAAATTTATGATGTTTTACTGAAATGACTTTTTAGGGTTTAGTTATATTAAAAGCCTGATACGTCATTGATCAGAAGGGCTGAATCATCTATAATTATCAGAGAGACATTTTCCCTTAGCGGTACTCATATATTAACTTATCGTAATATTTCTATTTGTTTTATGTTAGGCCTGAAAAGATTTTGCTAGAAATCAAGATAAGTAATTTAGATATCGAAGTGTCTTCACTTCGTAAGACCGCATCTAATTACTCAGATACAAACTATTCTGCTCTGCAAACTCATATCTCTAGTTCTTCAGGTTTTAGTTCTATAACGACAAGACAAATGATATGAGCATAATACAGTATACTCTGATGATGAGGATTATAGCTATTAAACGAAAACCATATGATGCTTTGTCATATAATACAACTTAATTAAATTAGAATTCTTTTGTAGCAGACTGCATTGGGTCCTGAAGCCCGGCCCGTGATTTTGGCATAATAGATTCAATATGAAATTTAAGATCAGGTGACTAATATAAATCACTATAAAATTTTCGTTCTAAAATTGTTTGAAGTGGTGTCGATTTTATGAACAGGGGTTTATTCTTATACTATTTTCATTACGGGATGTTAAAATAATGTTTAATTAAATGCTTATTATACAAAAACGTATAATATCCAATAAACTTCTTGTAAATATTCAATACGGAGTCAATTTGCCAAACAAAAAATCAGATAATTTCAGAATGATTCCAAAGGATTTTTTTTTATAGGGAATATTATAAGACTAAATACGCATATCTACTTTTAAAGCATCTTCGTTGACAAATGAAAAAAAACTTTAGAAGGCTTATTAATTGTCACGGATAATCGTAAAATCGGATGATGGTGAAATTTGGGTCTATTTTATGTATGCTTTTTAAAATTTTTGGGGCCTTTTTTGTCAGCTTTTTTTTTATAGTTAAGTTAGGATTTAGGGTTAGAGTTATTAGTAAAAGAGTATAGGTGGATTTTGGTAGGGCTTATATTTTCAAATCGAGACTCCTAAATTTCACCATCATCCGATTTCATGATCATCCGCGACATTAATTCAAAAAATTGTAAACACTTACGTGTTAGCGGATCTTTTATAAATCGAGTTCTCAAGTACTTAAAAAAAATAGATAAATGAGTGAAGTCAATAGAAAAGGGACAAATCAGTTTTAGTAATTTTTTTTTAATTTTTAAATTAAAATACTGTATCTCAATACTATCAAATTTGATAAAAAGTTTTTATAATTATATAGAATTAAAAAAAAAAAAAAATTATTAAATTTGGTTAGATAGTTGTTGAAATATTTAAGTTTAAAGTTAAGTAAACTTTTACTTAGAAAAAATTTGCTTCTTTTCTATTGACTCCCCTCCAAATATTAAAATCTTGATTTTTAATATCTACCTTTTTTAATCTTAGCATTTATTCATGTATATAATATATTTATTATATAAGTTGAATTTATATTTGAAGCTTTTTTTGTATTTCTTGATAGTCTTTTTTATTTTTACAAACATGTTAGGTAAGTATTCAAACAAAAAAATTAATATTGAGCTTAGTAAAATAATAATAAGAAAACTATCAAAAGACGTATGCGACGAATGCACTTTATACAAACGTGCATAAAAAAAAGTGATAATAGGGTAAATGAAGACTTTAATGAGCAATTAATAACCCATATATCAGATTATTAGAAAATGTGCGAGACCTATGAAGATGATACAAAAGAAGCAAAAGACTGTGATCGTTCTTCTTTGCGTATTTTTTCATTTGACTTTGCCCAAAATATGGAATTACCTCATAACCCTCAACAGCCTGATACATGGTATTATCTATTATTGCTAAAGGTACATCAATTTGGCTTAGTAGATGAAGGCATTGACAAACACTGGCATGCAATTTATACCGAAGGTAAAGCATCAAAAGGTTCAAATGAAGTTACTTTGATATTGTACCAATTTCCTGTTTCTGCAGCTGGTAAAACAAAAGAAATTAGACTATGGGCAGATAATTGTGGCAGCCAAAATAAAAATTCGTGCTTACTTTGGTATCTTCTTTAGTTATGTGATATTAAAATATTTCAAAAAATCGATTATTGATTTCAAATCAAAGGCCATACAAGAAATTCTGTTTTGATCGTAGATTTGGCCATACTAAGATAGAGTATGCAAAGTCAGAAGCTTGATGTATTGACTACCTCGTTGATGTAATAAACAAAAGTGCGGGTAATAATATTTCTGTAAATTTAGAAGAACAAACTGGACTCTTCCGTAATTGGACCTTTGTATTTAATACATTGTATCGAAAACCTCCTGCTATTCAAAAATATCAACTTTTTCAATTCACTCATGATAATCTTGGATTAATAAGAGCCAAAACAAGAGTAACAGATTCTTGAAATGAATTTCAGTTGTTAAAAAAAGATGCTAATCCAATAAATCTATGTCCTCAAGAGCTTCTGTCAAAAGGTCTTTCAGAAAAAAAAAAAGTAAATTTTTGGAACAAAATTCGTCTGTATTGCTCACCTGAATTTCAAGATAAACTCTGTCCAAAACCTTCAGATGATGTAGTAACAAGGGTTGGAAAATTAAAAGGAGATTGTGCAAAAGCACAGAGTAAGCAAAAGAAAAAAGAATAATTAGTGTAAATATCGATATAGCATTAAAATTTTATAACGAATAAACTAGTTTTATTATAAGACAAATAAACA